GTCACGAGACCATGAACCATTAGCTTTGCGGTTTTCAGTTTGCATTTGCTGAACTGTTAATTTAACCCTGCATGCCCTTTGGCTTGAGCTTTAAACAAATGCTTTGGTTGTCTGTTTTGGTTTTTCTTTCTCACCTGAGTTCACCTTTGTTATAGGTTCAACCTGAAGCCCCTTTGATATGTTTTGGGGCCAGTTATATTTGATAAGATCAAACACATGAGCATGCCTTTTGATAGTGCCTTGTAACAGTAACCACAGTGAAAGAATAGGTATTCCTATTCCAAACCTGTGACCTTCCTGAGATGTTAATCTTAAATGACAACTTGGTTGTTCCTCTATGTATATATTTTTTTTACATTACACTAAGCCTACTATGCATTTATAGCTACGCAAACTTAATTAGGACAGCAGTTTTCTGTTGCTGCTAAAATGCAGGTATTTGAAGACTGATGCAAAAAAAAAAAACTTTTATTAGCTGTTCTTTATTAATTTATGTTTCTAATGTAAAACTGCTGTAACTCCTCAAATTAAAAGGCCCTAATCAATAAATAGGAAAAATATATATTTTTTTCTATTTAGGCATATTCATTTCCAATCTCTATCCTGTTTCCAGCAGGGGTACAAATCTCTAAATCTTTAAATAATAAAAGAAACAGAAAAAATAACAGAAAATTCAGTATGTATTTTATAATAATATGTTTTTATACTTTGTGGATTCCAGGGCCTCCTACAAACTGAATACAGTTAATACAGTTCCATCCAGCATGTCTATTTCAATCTCACTAACACGTATGGTATTTAAACTATCACCAAAAATATGTATCTAAAAAAATGTAAATATGTCAATATGTACAGTAGATTAAAAATACCAAATGCTCACAGCGATTATCTGAACTCTATAATATTATATATGATAGCAGAATGCAAATGTTTATAAAGATGCATTATCAAAGGTATAATGGAGGATTTTCATGAATTTTCTACTTAAAAAAAATTAAAAATGCAATTGCACAACCCTGTACCCGCTCTCTAGAGGGAACGCCTATTAAACGCGTACGAGAGCAAGAACGATCCCATTTCTACTCTTGCACACTCTGTTTAAAAGCTGCTGTTTGTATCGCTCATACAAGCTTACTTTCCTAAAAAGAGATTTACAATTTTTCCACTATGTCAGACTCACCACCGGTAAGTGAAAATGGGGACGAGCACGTAGGATGGCCTTACATAAACATATCACCAGAATGATTGACAATTAGGAAGACCACTTATTTAGATGATCCACCCTGAAAAAGAACATCCTCCACTAAACCAGCACAGCAGTGGCTTGATTATCAGAGGGCTTATAAAAGTTAGGTTAATGCTGCTTTTATAGCCATCTGTCATTTTCACAAACTAAGATCTCTAAATAAAGGCAAACATACAGTAGAAGCTAAATGAACGTTACAGAACTTATACATCCAAAGAAATTTCTTTTTAAACAATATGTTTAAAGCTTTAAAATAAATGTAACTTGTTTTGCAGTTGTGGACATTTTTATGTCTCTTTGATCATTTATTGAGTTAAAAAAAAATCAAATATGGTTGATTTTGTATTAGATTGGCCCTCAAATATTGTTATTTTTTAATGTTTGAATTTATAAATATGAAAAATTTTTGTTTCTATTTTTCACTTTTTGTTTAACAACTTTTTTTTAAAGAAGTTCAAACTTACAGCCCTTTATTTTTGGGTTGTAAATCTAAGATGAAAAATTGTAGGAATCTCAGGATTTTCTTTTTTACCTGCAACCTCAGTTAGCAGGATAAAGGAAGGAAAAGACAAGTGTAAAGCTGAATGTTAGAGAATATCAACAAAGGGTGCCAACTTTCCTACCAATACAAAGGTAAACATCAATTCGTTAAACCATCCTGAGAGTTTAACTCAATCACATAGGATTAAGATTGATATTTTCACCAACAAACACATTGGGTGTAAAACAAGATATTTATATGTGTAAATGTGCATTATGTTGATTGTTCAGATGGAGGAGTTAAATTTCAGAGCATTTTGAAATTAGAGAGATGTTTTAGATAGAAATCTGGAGGACTTTAACCGTAAATATTTAAATTGTTCATTTTTTTCATTTATGTGTGAAAATCAGAAACATGTTGCCATAGCAACAATGAAATTGTTTATCAGACACAAGTTTGTGGTTGAGCTTAAGGTAACAGTTCATAAGAAACAACTTAGAAATTAGGGATCTAGAGAGATGGTTTAAAGAGAAAAGGCCA